TACTCCGTATTTTATACTCTACAGGTGCTATCAAACCAAAATACTAATTTATTGGTTATGTTAATATATCTAATTGTAATCAAAATATCAAGTGTGCACATACTGTGCATTATCATTTAATAATAGCGTATAATAGATATCAATCAATTATTTTATATGTAGAAGCACTGAAAACTATTTATAAATGGCAACGGTTGTTTACATTTTTCTGTCTTATGGATCTACGTCAAACTTCAAATGCTGTTCCAGGTTTGTTTACTTTTTTACAGTAGATGAGGAAAAGTTGTTTTTCGATATTTTGGCAATATTTTGGGTGATATTTGTGAAAAGTGAAATAAAACAAACGAAATATTTACATCCCAATCTCTCATTTCATTTGTACGTACATAGAATTTACATGATTTAAGATGAGGAAATGAGGAAGCGACCATTCCCTGGTCCAGTTTAGTGCAATAGACGACAATATAAGGATGGCATTCAGCATTTTCACAAATAATTTTAACGTTCTTGTAATCTATATTATGAAATTCCGATTTTACTTCAGAAAAAACGCTAAAAATTGATTAATGAAAACAGTAAAGGTTTTCTAAAAATTATTTATTTATCAATACAATACAAAAAATAACAAAACATAAAATACATAATAAAATTAGCAGTGATAAATTACATCTCACGTAAATTACTTTTTTGTAACTTTTCAAACAAATTAAATTCCAGAATTGATGCAAACTAAATTTTTTAAAGTGTTTAAAAAAGGTTATTTTTGTTAAGTATCTAGCATCAAAAGTAAGCAAGCTATAACCAAAATATTCAGAAAAGCAAAACCTACATTTTTTTACTTTTTGTGATTTTTGGTGTCACTCATGATCATTTGTTTTTGTTTTGTTTCGATTTTTTAAAATTATTTTAACAAGAGTCTGTTCAGATCATTTTAAATCTGAATTAATGTATAATATTAATTTTATTTTATTTAACTACGATATTTGAATTGCCGCCTTCAAAATGGCGGATTTTGGTCGTAAACGCGATTGGCTGTTCAAAATAGATGCGTGTGAGCATACCATGTTTCCTTATATCATGGTGTCACTAATAAATTTTAACTTATTTAAAAAAAAGCATTCTTTCAAAATTAAAAAAAATTGTTAAAAAATAAGCCCTTTAAACAAACGAAACTTACAGATCATTATAATAATACAATAAAAACAATGACCAAGGTATTTCTTAGAGAAATCAGGACACGCATTGAAATTGCAAGACAAGCATTTATAAAAATGAAAAAAATGTTTGTCAATCGAGATCTTAACTAGTTTTGATGGGAAATAAGCCACAATTTTACTAATAAAAATGATTTTATTAACGTGTCGTTGTCAAAATACAAAAATTATCAATGAATTAAACAAAAATGTTGTTGCTTAGTAAAACAATTCTTCTAATAATTTATTTAATCTGACTCATTTATATTGGCAATTCAGACATATTATACATTTTAAAGTAAAAGTCTTTAAAATGATATTGCCAATATTTGAGTTGCGTTCCTGGGACTATATTTATATTCTAGCGCGAGAATTTTACTGTCACCATTGCATATGGTTGTCTTTTAAAGACAGATTACATGTTATGATTTTTTTGTGACGCATATTCTTGATTTGGGGTGGATTTCATGTAATCGAATTAACTATCTTTTAATAAAGTCGTTCCAGGAACGCAACTCATAAATATTGGCAATATCATTTTAAAGTCTTCTACTTTAAAATGTATAATATATGTCTGAATTGCTGATATAAATGAGTCAGATTAAATAAATTATTAGAAGAATTTTTTTATTAAGCAACATTTTTGTTTAATTCATTAATAATTTTTGTATTTTGACAACGACACCCGATTCGGGCGTCGAAACGTTAATAAAATCTTTGTTGCATGGAATAACGACTTTGTTGGATGGAATGAAAAGCTAGACACTAAAAGTAGACAATATAAAGAAGTTGGAAGCATTTGAGATGTGGTGCTATAGAGTGATTTTGAAAATGCCTATCTAAATAGTATCTAACGAATTAAAAATGCAAAAGTGTTACGGTTACAATGTTACAAAAGGATTGCGAGGTGATAAAGAACATCAACACAAGAAAGCTGGAATATTTAGGTTACATTACCGAAGGTGCGAAATATGAGATATTGGGCTTATAATGCATGGTAAAATTAAGGGTAAAAGATCCATAGGTAGAAAAGAAATTCCTGACTAAGAAACTTAAAGAGTGGTATAGTTGCAGCTCAATAGACCTTTTCAGAGCAGCCGCCAATAAAGTAGGGATAGCTGTGGTGATGACCAATCTTCGATAGGAGAAGGAACTTCAACAAGAATAGGATATAAATTTTGTTCTGATAGTAACATTGTACTCCAAAAAATTGACAATTTATCTAGAAATGGCAATATACAAGTCAATTATATTCGGTGCAAAATAAGAAATTGTATAGAGGTGAACTAAATTCAATATGATCTACTGATAATTACGTCATCAAGGTTTTAAAAACAAGTAGTGATGAGTACCAAATGCAATCGATTTTGACTTTGACAAAATACCACAAATTTCCAACGTTAAAAATGAATAAAGTAAGTACATATCTTGATAAAATGACAGGAAATTTCCAACATATAAATAGTTGAGGGCTATCTGCCTAGGAACAATAGGTAAAAGCTCATAAACAGACAGGATTAGAAAGTTTAAAACATCACTAATTAGATTATATTTCAAAATAAAGTAAATAAGTATATTGAATGTTAAGTCTTTTCAAACAAAGATTGTACATTGAAAATAAGGCTATTATCGAGCACAAGTTAATTAAATCTAGCCCAAGTACTTTCGCTTAAAATAGCATCTTCAGGTGCATCTGAAATAAGCCAAGAAAACGTTTTTTAGATGAAGTAAATTAGTTAACTTCGATAAAAAACTCGAAGATAATGGACGAAAAAAAGTTTTTGAGATTAACGTTTTAGACTTACTTCGTCAAAATGTGAACTATCCGGCTAGAATGTGAAAACATTAAAAATAACATAAAATTGTACAAAACACTACACTAAAACGAGGACAAACAGTTTAAAATTACTTAAAGTAGTGTTTAGTGTAGTGTTTTGTACAATTTTATGTTATTTTTAATGTTTCCACATTCTACGCTTGCCGGAGAGTTCACATTTTGACGAAGTTAGTCTAAAACGTTAATCTCAAAACTTTTTTTCATCCATTAACTTCGAGTTTTTTATCGAAGTTAACTAATTTACTTCATCTAAAAAACGTTTTCTTGGCTTATTTCAGATGCCCCTGAAGATGCTATTTTAAGCGAAAGTACTTGGGCTAGATTTAATTAACTTGTGCTCGATAATAGCCTTATTTTCAAAGTTCATTTATTCGAGCATTCAACCTCATTTCATTTAAGATTGTACAATTAAAATTTTAGGAAAAAAAAATTTATTATTTCTTGTTCTCAAGAAGTACTTTCATTATTGACAATATCGAAACATTTTGTTATTAAAAGTCGAGAAGAATTAAAAACCACGTTCATATTTATATACAAGTGCTATAAAAATGTAGGTATATTAGTTTTGAGAAGAATTAATTTTTTTTAACAAACAAAAGATATAGGTAGAAAAAAAGAGGTTTAATAAGTGCTGCAAAAAAAACGGTAGACTCTATAAAGTGAATGAAATGGACACTGAAGAATTTTTTGACTTTAGGGATCTTTCAAAAATTTTTGGGCAAAAATTCACCAACAATTCGGATAACGAGAAGGTAGTATGGAATAATATACAAATTCTTAAACTAGAAAAGTGTTTTTCTACAAAAGTTTTTTACAAAACTAACTTTGACGATACAACATATAACACTATTAACCTTTCTACGCGTCGCGTCGTTTTTCTGATAATAATAATGTTTTAGAGCAATATAACTTAAAACCAGCCTACGAAAAGAGCATTAACTGGAATTATGCAAAAAAAATCTTATTGTAAAAGTACACCATCATTTTATTTCAATTTGTTGAGTTAATTTCTTGTAAATAATTTATAATATATAATTATAATTATTAAATTTATCTAATAAAGTACCTACCATTTATAACTTTGTCTGGTTTTTCATTGTTAATGTGTATAATCGTAGCAGTTATGGATATTGAGTAATTTAAAGATGTAATGCAAAACCGCCATATTTTAAAGGTAATGGATTTTGACAAGAGCTATGAGTCATGCCGATTTAGTACACAAGTTTACCTGTTATTTACAAGGTCATAGCTCTTGTCAAAATCCATTAGCTATACAAATATTTATACCGGTTAAATATTTCTTGTTTTTGAAATAACATATCTATTCGTATGCTATTGAATTACTAATATTCTTCTAATATTCAGTTACTTCTCTTCTCTTAAAATATCTATTCTGTATAGGAAAAAACCAGTCACTCATATTTTCATTTGCCTCTAGTGTTAAATTTATAAATTTGCAGTTGTAGCGGTATTGAATTGTATGTGCGATCTGTCACAGATAATACACCTATAGGGTAAGTTCGGCCCTGATACTACTCTTACTTCCTCGCAAGTCAGAGACAGAATGAGAAATCTCGATACGGTTTTCGAGTAATGCCATCTAGTTGTTGATACTTCTTTCGGTTACCACGAGGTGAGCTATCTAGTGGGTGGTTTATAATCAATGCCATTAGTCAACAAATTCTTTTGACAGAGATTATAGGCTTCAACATGGATCGGGTGTTTAACCTTTACTGTAAGGCAGTGTAGATGGAGATGAAACTGCTCTCTTGGGCGTCGGCAGACTAATATACCGTTGTCTACCAAAATCTGGAATGTCAGTTCATCAGAAAAGCACATCCACAAAAATTAAAATAAAAATGTTTCCATTAAAATACATATTATGTATTGTAGGCATTCCTAAAAATATATAAAAGCTTTAATTACACATGTAATTGCCTAGAATTTAATAGTTAAATATTTTGTTACAGGATTTCCCTTAATATCTAGACTGGAGTGCAATTGCAATCATGTTGGGCAGCCCTAGTGGGTCGGGTGTGCCAACACAAAGAGGGTTGTGGCCATTGGGAGCTGTACAAGCTCCAGGCATAACAACATTTTCAAATGATGGTAAGTACACAACTTTTGGTTTATGATATAAAACCTAGTTACTTGTTTCTAACGATAGTATAAAATCCTAAAATATGTTTACGGAGTTCTACATTCATACCTGGTGCAAGAAAAACAAACCTAACCATCAACAATACTTCATCTTGATTGATGGCTTTTATCGGGTATTCTAAAATAATTGAGACATTATTCGCCCTTTAATGATCAAATTTATGACATCTACAATTAAATTTCTATATATTTTTTAAGACAATACCAATTAATTCACTTGCAGTATGTTCCTCACAAGACTACAAGGCCTCCCTGGTCGTCAACATTCGAAAACCTAGCAAAATATCGACTTGGAATGTTAGAAGTCTATATCAAGCTAGAAAAGTACATAATGCCGTTAAAGAAATGGAAAGGCTGAATATAGATATTTTCGGAATCAGCGATCTTCAATGGCCCGACTCCATCCGAGAAAAGATAAAAATCAACAATAAAACAATATATTATTCAGGAAGTCAAGACGGTTCACACATATATGGTCCCGGGATAATATTAAACAAAAACATTGATGAAGCTGTAATAAATTTTACTCCATACTCCAGAATTAGAATTATATTCTTACAATTAAACCAGAACAAACCCAAAATAAACATAATACAAGTTTATGCTCCTACTGCGGACAAACCAGAGAGCGATATTGAAACTTTCTACGAAGACCTAGACAACATTTTAAAATCCATTAAAACGCAAGATGTAACAGTTATAATGGGAGACTTTAACACAAAGCTTGGGGAAGAAAAAGTAGAGGAACGTACAGGAGGATATGTCTGGATAACAGAAACGAAAGGGGTGACAGGCTTATCGAATTTTGCCAAAACAGTAATTTTGTTAAAGCTAATACATTGTTCAAAATGCCAAAGAGAAGACCATATACCTGGAAGTCACCGGCAGATCAAGAAGAGATAATTGTAAGAAACCAAACAGACTATGTATTAGTTAGACAAAGATACAGGAACGCAATTATATCCGCAAAAACCTATCCAAGTGCCGACATAGGATCAGATCACAACCTAGTAGTAACCAAAATTAGGCTCAAAATGAAAATAATAAAACGAAGAACAACAAATGCAAAAATCGATACAAGTAAATTAAGGAACCCACTCATAAGGCAACGCCTGGCAGATGAAATCAACAACGGATTAATGAATGTTAAAGAACAAATTCTACAAAATACTGAGACAGATAAAAAATGGTTATTAATAAAGACAGAAATAGATAAAAGTCAAAAAGAAATTCTAATACCAACCAGATATAAATAGAAGCAATGGATGGCGGAAGAAATTTTCGATGTAATGGAAGAAAGACGTCAATATAAAAACAAAGATAATCAGATGTACAAAAAAGTGGATAAACAAATAAAATATAGAATTAAGAAAGCGAAAGAAAGAAATGGTTAAAAGAACAATGCACAGAAATAGAAGAATACCAGAAAATACATGATAGTTTTAACATACATAAAAAAATTAAAGAATTAACTCCCAAGAATAGAACAAGAAAACCGGGAATACTGAAAGATGCAAATGGGAAACTTGTGTTGAATACTAACGACAAATTAAAGAGATGAACAGAATACATCAATGAACTATTCAAAGACAATAAAACAGAACAGATGGAGATAGAAGTAGAAGAGGATATGGTTTTAAAGTTATTAAAAGAGGAAATTAAAATGGCATTAAAATGACAGCAAAAATTGTAAAGCAGTAGGTCCAGACCAAATCCCTACAGAAATCTTAAAACGCATAAATGATGAAATCTTAGACATTATAATAGACTTATTTAACTCAGTATACAAAACAGGTCACATACCGAAACAATGGTTACTCTCCACCTTTTGTGCTATCTCTAAAAGTACAAATGCTCAATATTGCAGTCAATACAGAACAATATCACTAACAAGTCACATTCTTAAATTATTCTTAACAATAATACATGGTCGTATAAATAAAAAACTGGAAGAAGGAATAGATGATAGTGAGTTTGGGTTCAGAAACGGACTAGGAACCAGAGAAGCGTTATTTGTTTTTAATGTGTTAGCTCAAAGATGCATGGATATGAATGTTGATGCGTATGTTTGTTACGTTGATTTTGAAAAAGCATTTGACAAAGTAAGACATGAAAAATTAGTCCAAATTCTAAAGGCAAAAAACATAGACCATAGGGACTTACGAATAATAACAAACCTCTACTGGAATCAAACAGCACCAATCGTAATAGATAACGAACCAAGTCCAGAAACTGAAAACAGCAGAGGAGTTAGGCAGGGATGTATTATGTCCTCATTACTATTTAATGTATACAGTGAAGCCATTTTTGAAGAAGTATCACTATCTCAAAGTGAAGGAATAATAATTAACGGAAAATCTATTAACAACATAAGATATGCAGATGATACCAATTACTGCTCCACAACTGTTAAACACAACTCCAATTACTGCTAAACAAAACAAACAGTTTCTGTGAAAAATATGGACTAAAAATGGATATAAAAAATACCAAATACATGAAAACAACACAAGGAAAACAAATAAACCAACAAACATACATTTGGTAAATGTACCGATACAAAGGGTTGATAAATACAAATACAAATACCTAGGAACCTGGATTTCAGACAATAATGATCAAACAACCGAAATAAGAGCCAGAATAGAAATAGCAAGAAATGCGTTTGTAAAAATGAACAGTTCTCTGCAATAAGGACCTTAGATTAGAACTGAGAGTAAGAGCACTGAGATGCTTCGTGTTTTCGATACTGCAACATGGACTTCTGGACATTAAAGCAAGAACACATAAATAAGTTACAGTCCTTTGAAATGTGGTGTTACAGGAGGATGCTTAGAATAGCATGGACACAGAAGAAAACTAACACGGAAGTATTGCGAGAAATGGGCAAAGAATGCGAAATAATAAACACAATAAAAATAAGAAAGTTACAATATCTTTGACACGTAATGAGGGCGATAGAGACAGCGATATGAACTGCTAAGGCTGATAAAAGAGGCGGAAGGAGTATAGGAAGAAGGAGAGTGTCATGGTTGAAGAATTTAAGGGGCTGGTTTAAATGCAGTTCTATAGAACTCTTCAGAGCGGTAGTAGATGGAGTAAAGATAATAATGATGATATCCAACCTCCGATTGGAAGACGGCACTTAAAGAAGAAGTATGTTCTCCATGTAATGTACTTGCATTTTTTCTTCTCACTGCACGAAACAATTTATTGCGCCAATAGTTTCCGAGAAACAATGATTATGTTAACTTTATGGTAAAGCTATCATAGCCATATCTATATCCCGCCAAGATGAAGGGGTATATGGCCCATCTTGGCGGCGTATTTTATTGCTAATTAATTGCTGTTGATTGATATATTAACCAATCCTCAAAAATTACTCCATTATCTCCTAGCTATAAACACACCCCCGGAAAACAGAGATATTTGCTAAAAAGCAAACCGCAAGGAATTGATTTCTAATTCAATTGCAAATCATGCAATTTCAAAAATCTATTTAATATTAATTCTTAATATAGAAGTGGAAAATGTTATATTTCAATGTAAATTTAATGAATAGGCAATTATTTAAGTAATTGATAGATTCGACCGTTACTTGATGGAAATTCATTTTATGTAACAATAAAACACTGAAAAACTTTGTTTTCAAACTTCCACAAAATTTATTTTAAATATTATCACTACAGCTGTTTCGGCTGATTGCCTTTCTCAAGTGATCTATTTTGGCTTGGGTTTACAAATTTATAGTCTCTAATGAAATAGGTTGAGGAGGGGAGAACTGTTTGTCTCAAGTTGGTCATTCAGAATTATATCTGTGTTTTTTAATTTGTTGATTTCCATAGATTCTAACAAAGATAGCTTAAGGCCTTTATTTGAATGTGAAGAATTTTAAATTTGTCATTAAAAGAATGATTATGATCTAGAAGGTGAAGTGCGTATGTCGAATCTGTTTTTCTATTCTTGAAAGCCCTTTTATGTTCTGCTATTCGTTTATCAAAGTTTCTCCCAGTTTGACCGATGTAAGTTTTTGGGCAGTCGCCACATTGGAGTTTGTATACACCACTATTTAAGTGTTTTTTATTTTGGCTCTTGTTATTTTTAATATATTTGCCTAGGTTGTTATTTGTTCGGAAAGCTGGTGTTATTCCTTTCTTTTTTATGTGTTTGGCAATTTTTGTTGTTATTTTGCCTGTATATGTAATCGAGCAGAAGGTACTGGGTTTTTTTCTCTGGTGGTGGAAATACTAATTTCAGGGCTTTCTTGTGTAGTTTTTGATTTAACATTTTATTAATTGTTTGTTCGTTGTATCCGCTGTTTACTGCTATTTGTTTAATTATATTTAATTCTGTCTCAAAGTTGTCTTTTGACATCGGAATTTCTGTTAATCTATGTAACATACTATGATAAGCTGCCAGTTTATGTTGTGTTGGATGGGATGACGAATTGTGTATAGTCGTGTCAGTATGGGTAGGTTTATGAGATATGGAGAAGTCATGTTTGTTTTGAAGTCTGCTAATTTTTAAATCTAAAAAATTTATGGATTGATTTTGTTCTGTTTCTATTGTAAATTGAATATGACTATGAACTGAATTAATATATGATAAAAATTGGTCGAGTTGCCTGTTAGTTCCTGTGAAACATACCAGTACGTCGTCTACGTATCTCCACCAATATAAAAACTGTTTGAATACGGGATGTTTTGAAATCTTTGTCTCTAGATGATCCATAAAAATATCGGATAACAATGGGCTTAGAGGATTACCCATTATAAGTCCTGCACTGTTATTTGTATATATTTTATTATTAAATTCAAAGTAGTCCTGGTTTATGCAAACTTCAAGAAGATGTAAAATTTCAGATGTAATTATTGGATTTGTACTATTTTGGTCTAAAAGGTTTTTTACTAGAATAAAAGTTTCTGTAGGAGGGATACTAGGAAAAAGATTTTTTACGTCAAATGAAATTAATCTGGAATTGTTAGGTAATTGAAAATGTTGTATTTTATTAACTAGTTCTATTGTATTTTTTATGGTAAATTTAGGTGAAAATTTAGTGTGGTCTAAAATAATCTCTAACAGTTTTTTTGAAATTTTATATGACGGAGCTGTATAAAAAGAAACTACAGGTCTTATTGGATGATCCGGTTTGTGTAGTTTAATGAAAGAATATAATTTAGGAGGCTGTGGATACAACGAACAAACAATTAATAAAATGTTAAATCAAAAACTACACAAGAAAGCCCTGAAATTAGTATTTCCACCACCAGAGAAAAAACCCAGTACCTTCTGCTCGATTACATATATAGGCAAAATAACAACAAAAATTGCCAAACACATAAAAAAGAAAGGAATAACACCAGCTTTCCGAACAAATAACAACCTAGGCAAATATATTAAAAATAACAAGAGCCAAAATAAAAAACACTTAAATAGTGGTGTATACAAACTCCAATGTGGCGACTGCCCAAAAACTTACATCGGTCAAACTGGGAGAAACTTTGATAAACGAATAGCAGAACATAAAAGGGCTTTCAAGAATAGAAAAACAGATTCGACATACGCACTTCACCTTCTAGATCATAATCATTCTTTTAATGACAAATTTAAAATTCTTCACATTCAAAATAAAGGCCTTAAGCTATCTTTGTTAGAATCTATGGAAATCAACAAATTAAAAAACACAGATATAATTCTGAATGACCAACTTGAGACAAACAGTTCTCCCCTCCTCAACCTTTTTCATTAGAGACTATAAATTTGTAAACCCAAGCCAAAATAGATCACTTGAGAAAGGCAATCAGCTGAAACAGCTGTAGTGATAATATTTAAAATAAATTTTGTGGAAGTTTGAAAACAAAGTTTTTCAGTGTTTTATTGTTACAATTATTTAAGTATGTACTTATTCTTCTGAGCGTAGCATTAAGGCTTACTTGTCCAATCTAGCCTGGATCAATCTAACCTTTTTAACCTTAAAAATTAAATTATTTCAAGATTTTTTTTACCATTAACAAAAATTTGTTTAATTTATTATTTTTATATATTTCCGAAGTGGAAATCCAAACGTCAAATAAATTAATTTTAAAGTAAAATTGTGGCTTAAATTTTTTATTGATACAATCTATATCTATACATTTCTGTATTTGCTTCAGTAGTTCAGACGAGCACAAACATCGGATGTATATAAAATCGTCTGGAAGTGTCACTGTATCTAATTTTTTTGAGAATTTCCTCTTACAAGCAATTCCCAAAAACTATTTGTTAATTATTTCCTGAGATAGTTTAGATCTTTAAGAACACTATTTACCTCATGCGAACAATGGCAAACGTCTTTTGATTGTGGAATTTTCCGCTCGTGGGGAAGGCCTTCCCAGAAATTTGCACCCTAGATATTTCTAGATAAACGCCCCTTGTTGTTTTTAAGTGCAAAAATGTCAGGGGTGATGGCTTCGTGTTTTGGGAACGTGCTCGTTGGTGGTAACGTTACGAGGGTTAGTTGAAATGTTTCACAAATATAGTAGTGTCCTGACTGCGTTACCATACACAATACATGTATTAATAGTGGAGTAGGTATATTTATAGTTAAAACATGAGTCACTCGCTACAATTGTCGTACCTTACTCTAGGTATGGTATTGTGGTTCTGTGAGAACAAACCTTATTTAGAACCACCATCTAAAAGTAGAAAAGGTTCGATTTTTAAAAGATATCGATCTTAGATATAATTTACTTTCCAATCGATGTTAAGGGGAAACTCTTTGATGGTTTGTAAATTTTTCTACTTGAAAAACAATTGCAATAGTGGTTTGTTTTCTTTTTATTTTTGTTTACTGTAGCCTATTTTGAAACCTGCTTGCTCTTTGGTTTCAGTAGCTGTCAAATTTTAAAGCTAGTCTGTCGGTTATTATTTTTGTTGGCAATTCAAACAACGTGAAATAGAGTATATATGCGTCTATAATGTTTTGTCCCCTTTTTATACAATAATAACGTGATTGCTTCATTCTAGCTACTGGGTATGTTTCCTGTGTTTAAAAAGTATATTCCATTAATCACCTTGTTTCTTGTAAGATCCATTGTTTTTTCTTGTCAATTGCTGTTACTTCGCTCCCGGCTTTCAGTAATGGGAAAAAAGCTTACGAGCATAAAAATATGACTATTTAGGAAATAAAATAAAATAGGAATATTTTATTTATTTATTACTACTTGGTAAAACAATAAAATTTTTGTTTCAGGTCTCAACAAATATGGCGTGTATTCTCTATTTCCGGGAGGACCCAGTTTTGGGAGTACCTTGTACTCCCACTCTAGCACCAGCAGCACAACTGGACGGTTTGCCACTGGACAATACCAGCAACCGTCTGATAACATTTTTCACACATCGTACAAAGGTAAAAGGAATAGTTATAGTAATTTAGCTATAAAATAAACGAAAATTTTGACATTTGACGCCTATAGTCTGATTTTTTATTTATGAACGTTTTTTTTCTTGTTAACATAAATACAAATTCCTCTGTATATGTACGTTCAATAGTTAGTTAATTATCCTTCTAATGTTACTTTACCCGGGTATAGTCCAGTCGTCAGAGATTTGATCTCTAAAAATGATACGAACAGGCTGAATTTTGCTGAGAACGTTAATTTTGGGACCCCGAAAAAGATGCAAAAAAATTTGCCACTCCTACCTCCTGGCTTCCACAGCCAAGACATCACCAAGAATCTGTAAGCCGCAGAAAAAAAATCAAACAGTAATATAGCTCGGATAATTGAAGACCATACTGCAAGAAGGGGGCAGCTCCATTTTTGGTCAAATTTCAGTTTATAGATGCATATTATGTAAAAAAATTAGTTGAATCGATTGGTGCAAGAAAGAGGCAGATCCATTTATAAATGGTAAACCTATATTTGTGTACCTGTCTCCGAAATTGTTTGCTGTAAGAAGGACGCAGCTCCGGAGCTGCCATCTTCTTTCACCAAACATCTGGACGCTTCAGCAGTAACCGTTAGCTTGGCCTTGAATGTAATTAACGGAAGTTTAAGTTTAGTATTCAGTCTATGATTAAGTCGATTGAAGTCCATTGCTCAGTCTAACGTATTCTCGCAGTGCATTTTACGAAGTTGACCACGTGTGTTTCTATACAACTGTTTATTTATTTTTAAGTGTTTTTTATTATTTATTTGTATCATGAGTGGTACAGAATCTGATTTTGATAATGTTAGTCTGTTTGGTAGAGGTTCGTCTGATCTGTATAATCCATCCGAATCGGAAAAAAGCTCTGATCCTGATGAAGCAGGGCCTTCATTGAAAAGAAGGCGTGTAAACAAACACAAGCTTACAGTTAATACAGTTCAAAACGAGGTTCAGAGTGTTTCGTTTACGAAGAACAGATAAAGTGTTGATCCAGCTAAGTGGACACGGAACATTAAGAAAAAGGGTATTGCAGAAGGTAAAACTTATGTTAACTGGAAAGAAAGTAGTGTGGGACCTAGGCAAAGTAGACCTAATTGTGAATGTAAGTTTAAATGTTTTGAAAAAGTGAACGAAGAACAGAGGCAAGCAGTTTTAGTAAACTTTAATGTAATAAGAGACAAACAGATTCAAACTATTTACTTGGGTGATTTAATAACAACAAGCAATGTTGCCAGAACTCGAGCTAAAACTGGTGAGCAAGTGAGGTGTAGTTGTGCTCACAAGTACTATATTCAGCTGGGTATGGAAAAATACGAGTTTGAAGGACTGCATTTGGAGCAATACACGGGATATGCTAAACCTTTGCGCAGTAACAACATTACACCTCCGAACAGCAAACAAGGTAAACATAAAAATAGAAAAAACCGCATTTCAAAAGATTTACTGCAGAAGGTAGATACTCACATAAAAAGTTTTCCACGACGTGAGTCACACTACAGCCGAGTGAAAACGTCCCGTTTTTATTTGTCTCATGATCTCAATGTTAAAAAGATGCATGAACTTTATATGCAAGTGTAGAACCGGAAAGTGTTGTTGATAAAAACTGTAAACCTAGATTAACCCACAATTTTTTATTTTAGGTATTTTAAAGCAAATTTTAATTATAGTTTTGGGGCGCCTCGTTCAGACACCTGCAAAAGATTTGACATATTTCACAATAGCCTTTAAGATCCAGCTCTTGATGATACTGAAAATGAAAATTTACGACTTGAAAAGAAAGTACATGAGGTTAAAGCAAGTAGTTTTTTTTTGCAGACTTAAAAGAAAAGACAAAACTGAACCAACAAAATAACGACATAGAAGGTTTGGTTTTTAGCAGAATCTTCCTCTGCCGAAAACTCCGGCCGGCGAAACCTTGTACAATTTCTTTTCTTTATCACTACATAAAAAATATCCTTCCAAACAATGTCAGACAACTGTACCTCTTTTCCTATAATGCTGCAGCTCAAAATAAAAATTCAACGATACTACAGTTTCTGCATATTCTTGTAAGAACCACATCTTTGGAGAATATTCAACATCGTTTTCCTGAACCAGGGCACAGTTTGCTACCGTGTGATCGTTGTTTTTTGGTGTTATAGAAAAGTTTTTACGAAAAAAAGATTATATTGTCTCTCCTACACAATACTGTCAGTTTATTCAACAGACCTCCAAATATTTCATACCCATTATGGTTCATCAAGATATTATGATCTTCAACTTTAGCAGTCATTTTGAGAACTATTTTAAAAAAGTTATAATGAATTCTCAGAAACAGAGGTTTAAGATTTCTCAACACCAGATTTTTGAATACAGCAAGGGCCACATGGATACAGTTAATGTGTCTGTTACAACTGGTATTCATATTTTTTAATTGTACTACATTTTGAGGGACAATAAAGATAATCTTTCAGTTGAAACTAACTTGATGGTGTACGAGTCATCAATACCCGTAAAATTATCCAAGTACAAAGACGTAATGCAGTAGCTACAGACTACATTCCAGCCAACGAAATTGAGTTTTACCAATCCCTTAAATGTGATGACGTTGGTAATGATATACATGATTCCCAAATTTCAGGCACGGATGATGACGACCAAGCAGACGAATAGACTGATTTTCTGTTTGAATATAAAAGAAAAAACGTTTTTTTTGTTAATTTTTAATAATAAACAGATTTTGCAGTAACTTTTTTTATTTTCCAATAATAACTACAATGGATACCATTTTTTTTTGTAATTTTGGTGCAAGAGAGGGGCAGCTTCAATTTTTTTTGCATTTTCTGGCAGGTGTACCAAAATGATTATCTTTTAACTTAACTGTTTTATTGTAATTAATAAATGAGTAAATTTTTATAAAACATTTTTTTTCTATTTTCCCAAAAGTTACTATAAATGGAGCTGCCTCATTCTTGCAGCAAGGTCCTCAATTTTGAACAAAAATGTATATTATCAATTTTTCTGTAGAATGAACCATTATCTCAGAAACAACGCTTGAAGCGACCGACGATTTTGAATGCCACTTACTCAAGAGAGAATAGTTGCAACTAAAAATATTAAAACATTGGCATGATCGTATACAAAAATTAAATCACCAATTAGCATTATGGAAATCTCAAATGAAGTTTATAGAATACATACCATGCGAAAATTGTGATGATACAATATCGGTCATACATCGGACACACATCTACAAACCTAATAGGCAGACTAACATCACATAAAAGTAGCCTCAGAAATAATAAAAACACATGTGCATTAATAGATAATGCAATTAGTAAGAATCATTCATGATGATGATTTATATGGGTAAATTGTTGATGCATAGTGGAATATAAATATTCCCAGCGTCGCTCTGAATGGCTTGTTTAAGCTTGGGTATACAGTTTACTTATCGCTATCGACATTCACTTCATCTTCCCACATTAGAGGTCGCTAAAAGCATACTGTGGTAATTATCTCTTATAATTGCCATACCTGCCGGTGCGTTTGGCTTTGGATTTTGGTCTTCTTACAAGTGTCTCTGATGATGGGTAGACCCAGAAACACGTATAAGAGAATGGTAACAGACTCGAATTAAATCCAAACGCAACCATCTACATAAATATATTTATTTTGTTTTCGTTCTTACTCGACGAAACAAGTAGAAAAATAATGGTGATGGTCGTTGCCATGGTCTTCAATCCATTTTAAACTCTTTTTTGAGGTATGTGCTCCGTCCTGTTGGAAGACAAAATCTTCTGTTGATTTTAACCCATTCGCTCACGACCTTTTATTTCGTATTACAAAAAATTTATTATGTTGGTACCATTTTTGTTTATTTTTTTTTAAGATTTTTAAATGTAATTTTAAAATTGATTGTTTACCCTTAAACGAGTTAGGGATTGTCCCCATACGAGGACATTGTGAATAAGAGGAAATAAAATGGTAGAAACTCAAACTTGTAGTAAATTTATTGCAGTGAATTACAAATAGTATTATGTGTGATAATAAAAAAAAAATAATTTTTCTGTTAAATGAATGTTACATTTGCAGCAGGTATACTTTGACTTTCCTTTACATCCCGGCTTTTTGCACCTGGAAAATTTTTCCGTTACTTGGGTAGATGTCCTATATTATCGAGACGAATTTCCTTTACTGGGCGCGCTTCTAACTTAGTTCTTTTGGGAATTGGCTGTTTAAAGTCATTGGAAGGACGACTCCTTTTCCTGTATTGCTCTATATTTCCCACAATTCGTCTTCGTCATCTGATAAAGATTCAACGTCCGACAAGCCCCATTCCACTTCTTGAAGCAGTTCTTCATATGTAAGTGGCTTTCTCCTGCTCATTTTGAAGTACTAGTACTTGAAGAAAACAGCAAATTAATTATTTTATAATATCCATGGCAAAAGCTAACTTACCTCTAATTTAGTTCACTTATTCACACTGTCCCCATATGAGCACAATACTTTTCAGACAACAAAATCAACTAAACTAGCATAACTTTAGTCAAGCCTAATTATCTGGGCTTAAATGTACACTTCTTTACTACCTATATCACGACTGTTACAGTATATCAAAACAAAACACTAAAGTTACCATGTGATATTCTGTCAACGTCAGAGGAAAGTTCCACAATGGTTTCTACGTCACATTTTCAAATCCGTTTTGTAGTGCTTCTACTCACAAATAGATGGCGATATATGTGTTAAATTAAAGTTTCTTGTGTGTCTGTATGTGGACAACATGAATAAACGGTCACCACAGTTGTTCGAGTAATACAAAAAATGAAGAATTTTATGTCCTCATATGAGGACACTATGAGCGACAGGGTTAAACGGTGTTCCAAAATAGATTCTTCTAAAATATTCAAATATTTGTCCGTATTTAGAATCCCATCGATAAAATGTAACTTTCCCACACTTTTAGACGCCACGCTGCCCCAGATCATGACAGATGCA